GCAGTTACACGTGTTTCCATTTTCAGTTTCATTTGCTATTCATTTGATTTTTATTTCAAGCTAAGGTGGCTTAACATGGTTTCATTATTTTTAAACTCAAATATATTTGATGAAATATACTATCTGCACTTTTTTGAGTGCTCCCTTGAACATGATACCTAAAAATATTCAGCTTTTTCTCAACATTTTTGTGACCAATTTCCATAGCATTACTCTTAACTTTACATGCTAGTTACTCAAAAAGGAGTGCAGTGACCCCCCCCGCCCCTTCCACAAACAATCTGGCCATGGTGAATTTGGTTATGGTGAAAAATATAATACTTTGTTCTAACTTGAGCATCACTGTAATTAAGCAAAACTTTTGGAAGAAGGGCCACCCTGTGGCCACATACCCCTACAAATCCAATTTACAGTATGATTAATAACACATATCATTAGGCAGTTGGTTTACTGATTTATCAGTCACTCAGTCAATCAGTCACTCTTTCTATCAGCCAGTCAGCCAATGAGTCAGTCAGAAAGTCAGCACATCATCAAGATTGGTAGTTGAAGGGCTCAGAGCAAGAACGACCCCTTGATTTTTCGGCCATTTTTGAAAGTGTTCAGAAGTAGTTGAATTTTGGCATGTGGACTTAGTTTTACTCGATATACACTGTTTTTTCGCTGGTTTGCGCTTCGTTTTCGAGAAATAACGTATGCAAAAAACCTTGAATTTCGTAGCGGCTTTCATTGCATGAAGCCGAAACAAAAGAAGCCTTTTGTTTCATCAAAACAATACAGCCCCCGAGAACTTGCATATTCATAACCAGCTTAAAGAAAGAGCATGTTTTTTGTTTTGAGTTTAAAACACCGTTTAGCAAACGTAAAATATCCTTGAACAAACTCGCGCTACGGCAGAATTGAAGACAAAACCAAAGATACGTTGACATAGCCAAAAGTTTATACGAAAACACCCCTGTCGAACGCTAACGCGAAGGAGTGCCGCCGGTTTATTTAACGATAAAATTTATAACGTGTAATCGAATGTTCTCGTAGCACAGTCGGTTAGGCATTGGACTCACATTCGGACGGTTGGTACAGTTCTTTTTTTAACAAATGTCTCTTTTTTCGCTCACCCTTTTTTTTCCTTCTCTTTTTCAACTCAGGAAGAGGTAAGCCATTTTTGAGAGTTTGATACGTTGACATAGCCAAAAGTTTATACGAAAACGCTCCTGTCGAACGCTAACGTGAAGGACTGCCGCAGTTTTATTTAACGATAAAAGTTAAGTCTTGTTATTGAATGTTCATGTAGCACAGTCGGTTAGGCACTGGACTCGCAGTTAGGCGGTCGGCAAGGTTTTTTTAAGAAATGTCTTTTTTTTCCTTCTCTTTTTCAACTCGGGAAAAGGCAAAGCCATTTTGAGAGTTTGATACGTTGACATAGCCAAAAGTTTATACGAAAACGCTCCTGTCGAACGCTAACGTGAAGGACTGCCGCAGTTTTATTTAAACAAAGAAAGGGCGCGCGCTAAACAAACATAACTGTTTTGAACTGACTCCCTTTTTGACGATAATGATTTAATCCAGTATAATTCGTAGGAGCGCGAGTCACTCTCGAAAAAATAAAACTTGTCCAGGCGGCACTAATAGTGTTGAGCGGTGTTTTATCAAGTTTCATTATCCTCGCACAACAAGCGTCCACGCACTTATGGAAAAAAAACTAACAAAGAAAGGGCGCCGCGCTAAACAAACAAAACTGTGTTGAACTGACTCCCTTTTTGACGATAATGATTTAATCCAGTATAATTTGTAGGAGCGCGAGTAACGCTCGAAAAAATAAAACTTGTCCAGGCGGCACTAATAGTGTTGAGCGGCGTTTTATCAAGTTTCATTATCCTCGCACAACAAGCGTCCACGCACTTATGGAAAAAAAACTAACAAAGAAAGGGCGCCGCGCTAAACAAACAAAACTGTGTTGAACTGACTCCCTTTTTGACGATAATGATTTAATCCAGTATAATTTGTAGGAGCGCGAGTAACGCTCGAAAAAATAAAACTTGTCCAGGCGGCACTAATAGTGTTGAGCGGTGTTTTATCAAGTTTCATTATCCTCGCACGGCAAGCGTCCACGCACTTAACTGAAAAAAAAAAACTAACAAAGAAAGGGCGCGCGCTAAACAAACATAACTGTTTTGAACTGACTCCCTTTTTGACGCTAATGATTTAATTAAGCAAAATATCAAATTTACCCAATATCTGATAAAGTACAACACGCTTTTATAAGCAAATAATAATATGGAAGTTGAAGTCTAACGAAAAATTAAAAAAAGCTTTGCGCTACGTAGAAAAGTTAAACTTAATCAAATTTGTGCAGGAATAAAATTTATTTATCGCTAGTACACTTTCGTGTGAAACATCGGCCTATTAATTTAATTAGTGTGCAAAAACAAACATACAACGTTTTTGTCACGTATTAACTCGCGCTGGATGATTTTTATTCGCCAGTTTAAGAGTACTCTGCTCACCGTTTTCGTGTTATTCAAGCGTCCTCAAGCGCTTGGTTTGGAGAAAGCACCATTCTGATTCATACTGCGAAACAGTGACTTGTTGACATGCGAGCTATTTTTAACAAAGAGTATTATGTCACTCACGCAATTCTCCTCTGCTATTTCTCAGATTACAAGCGTGACTGCTGCATGAGTACCTTTTTTAGCGTTTATGCATATAATTTTTCAAATTCGCTTCTCTCTTAGCGTGAAAAGAATTTTAAAAGTTTTTGTAAGTTTTCTTACACTGTTAAATAAAATATTTATATGCAAGTAAAATAAGATGTTCATTTATCCTTTGGTTCTGGTTCGGCGGCCTCCATGGTTAAGTCAAACTGGCGCTGGGGCTCAGGGACGAAGGCAGCTATTTGTTGCAGGTCTTCCAGTTTGGCTGGGACCACCTTCAAACGAGCAGGATAGAGGCGGCCGGGTGTTTGGTTGGCATCTGTTTGGTGTCTGCGGCGCCGGATGTTTACCTTTTTCCAGGGTTCATCTGTGGAAAACCCATACCTTACCCAAACTTCGTCTGGATGGTGGACCATTTGGGTTTGCCCAGTGATAGGATCTTTCTCCTCTCCCCAACCAAAGTTTAACCAATGCGCGTCGAGGATTCAGACGCGCTTCCCATCCCAGTCCTTCGCTATCGGTTGGTACCTAGCAAGAATATTAACAATGGTTAAGTGAAATGAAATATAAAAAGATCCATATGAGTACTATTCTACAAGGTTTCCAAAGTTCATTGCGGCTTCATGGTTTTAAAAACAAGCATTGCGTGCCTTATTTTTATTTAGCTTACTTTAAATCCAGGAAATAGATGATATATTCAAAAAATTTTAGTGGAAATATCCGGAGAATTAAGTAATGATTTTCTTGTAGCACACCACGAATATCGCACCCTTGAACTTTCACCCCCCCCCCCTCCCCCCTTATCTTTATAAGGCTTAGGTGCAAAAACAAGCTATTACCGGGATTTTTTACGGTAGGCCACTCTAAAACGCTCTATAACTTGTACATACATATTGACGCAATAAAACGGGGGTGCATATCTGGTGACCTCATACCAGAAACGCACGTCGATTACTATCTGATTAATTGTCTATGTACCTGGATTCCAAGAAGGACCTCCAGTCTTTGAAGTCAGGCTGCCTCATTTCGCGTACCACGAACGGTTTCACTGTATTCGCCTCTCTGACGACTTTACACCAGTCCTCTGGTAAGTACACCACTGCGCTTTTCTTTCTCTTCTCGATCTGGCTAAAGTCTCTGTCATTTTGAAGGAACGTGTGGCCCCTCACGAGGTACTTGTGGTTAAGTACCTCGTAAACGCCCGTGCGGTGTAGCTCGGCGTAGAGGGCAACTATCGTCTTGTTTCTGTTCTGACCCGAACAGCCATCAGAGTAGCTTACGAGCGACCTATAAAGACAGAATAAAATAATATGGTGTTATAGTGAGACCTGTATCTAACAATGACTGGGGACTAGGTGCATTTGTTCGCGAAATTGAATTTGAAAATCAAACATGCAGGGTTCGAGGTTTACGCTAAGATGCAACCGACCGATGTTCCGAAATACAAAAAACTAAAACTTACCTCGCTCCAGTGTTAAACTCAGTGAGGAAATTATACAGGCAGTTTGCCACCTCCACTGACCAACGTTTGGCTGTCGTCTCGTCCCACATAAACATATAGCCCTGGTTGGACACGCAATCGTGGATACCAAAGTTGTAGGTCCACAGCTGCCTCTTATAAAACATATCGTTATGCTGTAAGTTTGGGGTCTCCAGATTTTGTTGAAAATCATACGTTATCATGTTTACGGCATCTTTACTGCGGTGTTTTACTCCTGAAGAGCCAACTGGACGGGGCTTTCCAACCCAGCTCCTCACCGCGCGTGCCTTGTCGTCTCTACGCATTGTAAATGCAGATTCGGCAAGTTTGTGATGTTCCTCGAGTTCTTTTTCAAGTTTTTCTTTTTCCGCGCCCTCGGATGATCGCACTTTAAGGGCCAGTTTATCGCAGCTGGCGCAAGTGTCGGTGCGAGGTAGTGCGAAGCCCAGGTTGAATTCTCCATTGAAGATATCCCTGTATGTGTGTAGTAGGATGTGGGCTTTCAGTTTCGGTGGAATTGGTGTTGTGTTTTCCTGCTGACATCTAAGGAAATAAAATGATTCTCTATTATCTCAGCGTTGAAAGTAATGCGTTTAGTGCGTTTAGTAGAGATGTACAAACTACCGCGAACTGATGTCTTTAATACCTGTCGACATTGTCCTTTATTATAAAAAGTTTACGCTTAAGTTTTCAAATTTGCCATTGGCAGTCCTTGTGAACTTTTTGTATTTTACAATTTCCTTTTCTTTTCCTCGGTGTATTTCCTCGTTTTTCTGGCGTTTTTTTACGTTGAAAGGGTATTATTTATTTTTTATTACCTAAGACCTTAAAACTGGTTCGGCGGCCTCCATGGTTAAGTCAAACTGGCGCTAGGGCTCAGGGACGAAGGCAGCTATTTGTTGCAGGTCTTCCAGTTTGGCTGGGACCACCTTCAAACGAGCAGGATAGAGGCGGCCGTGTGCTTGGTTGGCATCTGTTTGGTGTCTGCGGCGCCGGATGTTTACCTTTTTCCAGGGTTCATCTGTGGAAAACCCATACCTTACCCAAACTTCGTCTGGATGGTGGACCATTTGGGATTGCCCAGTGATAGGATCTTTCTCCTCTCCCCAACCAAAGTTTAACCAATGCGCGTCGAGGATTCGGACGCGCTTCCCATCCCGGTCCTTCGCTATCGGTTGGTACCTAGCAAGAATATTAATAATGGTTAAGTGATATGAAATATAAAAAGATCCATATGAGTCCTATTCTACAAGGTTTCCAAAGTTCATTGCGGCTTCATGGTTTTAAAAACAAGCATTGCGTGCCTTATTTTTATTTAGCTTACTTTAAATCCAGGAAATAGATGATATATTCAAAAAATATCCGGAGAATTAAGTAATGATTTTCTTGTAGCACACCACGAATATCGCACCCTTGAACTTTCACCCCCCCCCCCCCCCTCCCTCCTTATCTTTATAAGGCTTAGGTGCAAAAACAAGCTATTACCGGGATTTTTTACGGTGGGCCACTCTAAAACGCTCTATAACTTGTACATACATATTGACGCAATAAAACAGGGGTGCATATCTGGTGACCTCATACCAGAAACGCACGTCGATTATTACCTGATTAATTGTCTATGTACCTGGATTCCAAGAAGGACCTCCAGCCTTTGAAGTCAGGCTGCCTCATTTCGCGTACCACGAACGGTTTCACTGTATTCGCCTCTCTGACGACTTTACACCAGTCCTCTGGTAAGTACACCACTGCGCTTTTCTTTCTCTTCTCGATCTGGCTAAAGTCTCTGTCATTTTGAAGGAACGTGTGGCCCCTCACGAGGTACTTGTGGTTAAGTACCTCGTAAACGCCCGTGCGGTGTAGCTCGGCGTAGAGGGCAACTATCGTCTTGTTTCTGTTCTGACCCGAACAGCCATCATAGTAGCTTACGAGCGACCTATAAAGACAGAATAAAATAATATGGTGTTATAGTGAGACCTGTATCTAACAATGACTGGGGACTAGGTGCATTTGTTCGCGAAATTGAATTTGAAAATCAAACATGCAGGGTTCGAGGTTTACGCTAAGATGCAACCGACCGATGTTCCGAAATACAAAAAACTAAAACTTACCTCGCTCCAGTGTTAAACTCAGTGAGGAAATTATACAGGCAGTTTGCCACCTCCACTGACCCACGTTTGGCTGTCGTCTCGTCCCACATAAACATATAGCCCTGGTTGGACACGCCATCGTGGATACCAAAGTTGTAGGTCCACAGCTGCCTCTTATAAAACATATCGTTATGCTGTAAGTTTGGGGTCTCCAGATTTTGTTGAAAATCATACGTTATCATGTTTACGGCATCTTTACTGCGGTGTTTTACTCCTGAAGAGCCAACTGGACGGGGCTTTCCAACCCAGCTCCTCACCGCGCGTGCCTTGTCGTCTCTACGCATTGTAAATGCAGATTCGGCAAGTTTGTGATGTTCCTCGAGTTCTTTTTCAAGTTTTTCTCTTTCCGCGCCCTCGGATGATCGCACTTTAAGGGCCAGTTTATCGCAGGTGGCGCAAGTGTCGGTGCGAGGTAGTGCGAAGCCCAGGTTGAATTCTCCATTGAAGATGTCCCTGTATGTGTGTAGTAGGATGTGGGCTTTCAGTTTCGGTGGAATTGGTGTTGTGTTTTCCTACTGACATCTAAGGAAATAAAATGATTCTCTATTATCTCAGCGTTGAAAGTAATGCGTTTAGTGCGTTTAGTAGAGATGTACAAACTACCGCGAACTGATGTCTTTAATACCTGTCGACATTGTCCTTTATTATAAAAAGTTTACGCTTAAGTTTTCAAATTTGCCATTGGCAGTCCTTGTGAACTTTTTGTATTTTACAATTTCCTTTTTTTTTCCTCGGTGTATTTCCTCGTTTTTCTGGCGTTTTTTTACGTTGATAGTGTATTATTCTATTTTTTATTACCTAAGACCTTAAAACTGGTTCGGCGGCCTCCATGGTTAAGTCAAACTGGCGCTGGGGCTCAGGGACGAAGGCAGCTATTTGTTGCAGGTCTTCCAGTTTGGCTGGGACCACCTTCAAACGAGCAGGATAGAGGCGGCCGGGTGTTAAGCCCACCAGTTGTTGGTCCAACACTAAGTCAGGCCATCAATCAATTAGTTTGTCAGTTAATTGGTCAGTCAGCAATCTAGTCTAACATTCTGTCCAGCAATCAATCACCTACAGTGAACACAGCCTGTCAGTATACTAACTGTCAAATGGCCAGTCCATCTGTCCCTTAGTCAGGCCATCCCTTAAGTAGTTGGTCAGGCAGTTAGTTAGTAAGCCTTTCACTAAGTTGATAGGTCAGTCAGTTAGTCAGTCAATTTGATACTCTGTCACTTAACATTTTATCTGCCACAAGTCTGCAATCATTTTTTAAAATTTTTTATCCTTTTAAAGCACTAAGTGTCAGTTTTCTTACCTCAAGTAACAAAGTTCCATTGTAGAAAAAAATTGCTTAAGATGTTAATTCACTTTAACTGTACATTGTACTTTTTGTACCACCTATAGAAAAATAAAACATTTATTTGTGTTAGATTTTCTTCATGAGTTCTCAGTGATGGCTGATGTCCTCTCTCAAGTTAAATTTATAAACTAACTGTTGTATGTGGCAACAGTACTGCTCGCATATGCAATAGCATTATACGTCATGTGCATATGGTTGAACTGGACCTCTCACTGAGAAATCTTTATTATGGACAGTTTGTATATCTGAGTAGAATTCCTATTATACCAAAAACCCTTCTCAATGTGGACCCTATTTAGTATAAATAACAGTAAAGAACAGTAGTTATTGGTCCCAGAGAGCAAATACTGTTAAATACCATGTTCGTTTGTGAATGTACAGGAACTGCTTGACGAAGTAACAATTTATTGTTTGTGGACTGTTACATAAAAATCACTCCATTCTTTTCCAAAGTTAAACCTTATGGCAGATAACACTGACACTAGACTGAGTGACAAGGTAATGGTGTCATGCCATAAGTGTGATAATGCATGAGAAAGAAAACTTTGTATATTGCAAAGGGGTTGGCATGTACCAGAAAATAAGTTGCTGAGGGGAAAATTAAACAAGTAAAATTTGTGCTACAAAAATAATAAACTCAGCCAATTAAAGGACAGCGATTTTGACAGGTAATTATAAATGCAAACACAACTTGTCAGAGAATATTAGAATTAGCTAGAGAGTAGCAATTTATTTGTCAGTAAAAACTCTATAGCCATTATGATCCAACTGATCCAAGCCAAGCCAATCTGATCTGGGCCAAACCAGCCCATACAATACCTGAAAAACTGACAAATGACAAATAGGAGAGGTGCAAAACCCTTTCTAACACAGGGTTTCCCTGTTAATAAATGCAGTATCAGGAAAATTGTACATAGTAACAGTAAAACAGTCTCCACAACTGATTGAAAATTAGGTGATCAAAATTTAGCCTGAGAAAACTGCATAGTACCTAGAGAATTCTATGATTTATACAGCATTAAGAATACCCTCAACCAACATAATTATAATGTACAGTGGAAACCATGCAAACAATTAGCATCATTTTCAAATCCTTCACATGAAGCAGAATTTGGTACCTTCTCTGAATGGAGGATGAAATAATTGATTGAAGTAATCTGCCAGCCTATCTCCAGTGTGAGTTACTTCCGATCTACATGCACACTGTAGGTCAAAATTTAGTTGGTGAGGCACCCAAACTATGCAAGAGCAATGCCCTGTTTCAAATCAAAGTACCCTTTAGCATTTATAAGTGGCTGGAAAGGAGTTTCGTCATCAGGCAAGCAGGAATTTGTGGACAAAAACGAAAAAAAGGGAAATGCCTCACTGAAACTAAATCAAGATGGTGATGACGCACTCAAATCAAATTGCAATTTAAAATAACAGAAACCGTATATTATTGCGGAAAAATGGTCGTGAAATAATTTTTTTAAAAGTATTGCTTACCTCTAGCAGTTGATGTGACTATCAAATGTGGCATAATTTTTTACATAAAAGAAATACAAGTTATACATAAGGAGCCGTTTATGGGCCTCTTTTGGTGTAAAAAAAGGCAGTTAACTCCATCGTCCGATGTTTACGCCGCCATGTTTTATGAATTTATCTCTAGCTTGTTCCCAGTGTTTTCGTCCGACACTACCCTGCACAATACACGCAGATTTGCGCGGATTCACGCGGTTAGCCGGTGGGACTGTCAGTCAATTTTCACTCCCACTAAGGAAAAATTCAGCAGGAAAATGAAACTGAAATGCCGTTTCTACGAAGAAAAACAGATTTCAGAATGTTCTTCTTAGCGCAGGCAGAGAGGAGAAGCGAAAGAGGAAACGAAACTCAAAATTTATTTTGCAACAAAGCTAAAAAGATTCATGGGTTTCATGGCATGTGATCTCCAGTCCTACCCTACTTTTTACCCCTAGTCCAAAGTATCGTGTTACGAAATCTCTACACTTAGAAGAAGGGGACTTTTCAGCTTTGCAAAGAAGAGACTGTGGCCATGACCGCTCTTTGTGGATTTGTGTCTTTAGCTGACTCGAAGATATCGTAAACGTCTTGGTGAATCAATTTTATCACGTGGAAACTGTGCTGAAAAGACTCCATATTAAAGGTTTATCCAATACAGCGCAGGGATTAACTCAATTCCTAAATTTTGCGTCCAGTGTTTACTTCAAAATGAACCAGTTTATTGAGAAAACACCCCTGATAGAAAAAATGTGAAAAGTAATATTAAGTACCCTTGTTACAAGAAACTTGTTTCTTGAGGACAGGTTAGTGAGGAATTTCAGTTTCATTGTTTCTCTTTTATACTTGAAGACTCACATGTGAAACAATTACTCCTGTAAATAATTATTATTCCATCGTTTTAATACGTAGGTCACTATTTCAATTCCATTTTCATCATAAACTCATCTTGTTGTTCGCTCATCAAATACCAGTAGCTACGAAAGGTCTGCTCAAACTGTTCCTCTGTTCCTTTGCTCCACAAAGCGTCCATTTGTTACAAGGTCTTTGATCTCTATAGTCATCAAATCCAAAAGATCGTAGTACCTTCATTTGCCTAAAACTAAAATAGTCTTGCCTTCTTCGACTAACGCTAACGAATTTCTTTCAGATACAAAAGAAAATGGATGGATTCAGACACAAGAGACACTGTAAGCAAAGTTTTGCATCCCTCGTCGCGAGGAAACAGGAGATGAACCTGAAGCTCTTTCAACATTAGTAAATCCTGTACGATGGTCACGAGAGGAGCTTGCTTGCACTTTAACTACTTCATTTTTTCGTTTGGAAAATCTTTCCCTGACCAGACCTCGGACTTTTTTAGTGGTAACAAAACACAACGTGATGAAAAATCCTGTGAAGATGTAAAGCGAAAGAAATCGAAACAAAGAAATTATCGAAATGAACTGACTCAACATCGAGGCTATGATGAATTTTTAAAAGAAAGAGGAGCTTTCTATGATATAACTTTCACATGGAACAATTTAATTTTTGATATTTTATTCATTTCACGTTACCTTAGAGACGCATATAGAATAGGATTTTTCAAGTGGAGAATCCAACTCTTGTGTCGTAATGGCTTTGAAGGAAAAACTAGGTAGTTTTTTATCATCATGAAGTATCACTTCCTTTAGAAAGAGGAGAGTCAAATGAACTCCCGTTAACCCTTTCATTCCCAGAAGTGATCAACATGAAACTTCTCCCCACAACATCCTCACATTATCCAGCAAACGGGTAATAAGAATATTCAAACTGATCAGGTAGAAGTTGTTATCTTGATCCAACACCAAGTTCTCATAACTGATTTACAAGGAAATATGTAGCAGGTAGAGGGGAGAATTAACAATCAGATCCTGGGTGTTAAAGGGTTAAGCCTTTAGCCACGCCCTTCTATGAGTGTCAAGCTTCAATACCTTGTAAGCTGTTTAACACAGTAGATGGGTAGTGCAGGAAGTTCGTTTGCTTCCAGTTGGCAGCAAGCTCCAGAATCCAGGTCAGACCCATGACTGTGGTCAGTTTGATGCCGATGAGGGTCAAAGACTCGTTAGAGCGGTTCGATACTGCCATGTTGGCAGCCTGTATAGAGGAAAAAGCTGAATATCAATCCTTTTAAAAAGCTTGCAACATGTTAAGACAAATTTAGGCTAGTTCCACTTTGCTTTAAAGGGAAACTATTTTATTGTGAAGGGGTAAGTTTCTAAAGAAATTGTGGTGCTGCGTCGGTGGAAAAGTATAACAGGGTAATTTAGTATTATCAACGGAGTTGATAACGCTAGCTGGCCACCGTTTCAAAGCTGAAATTTGAAGCATTAGCTCTTTGTCAGAGAGAATGATGGAGGGTTAACTCTCGAAACGCCAGCTTTGAAACTCTTTTTCGGTGGCCAGTTTACGTTATTAACTCAGTTAATAATGCTAAATTACCCTTTTTTTATCGCGAGTTACACCCAGAAATTCGTCAGTTCCCCATGAAATTATGCTGGTCATCATGAATACCTATGGGTGAGGAGAGGCATTATGAGAGTAAAACGTCTTGCTCAAGAACACAATAAAATAATCCCAGTCGGGACCTAAACCTGGAACACCGCCGCGCTAAAAATTGCGTCGTGGCATCCGAAATAGTTAGAAAACCAAATTGATCTCATATCATGATCTGTATATTAACGGTAACTTTTCTTTTCCTATATATCTTGGTACATTTGAAGCCATTATGGAAAAAAATAGTCCTTTTCAGTATGACTGGCTTTGGTGTTCTATGCCACGAGCTGCGTTCCATTCTTCGAATGTCTTCCGACATAGTTAAGAGTGTCTATCAGTAGAACTGCCAAGTTTTACAGTACAGTATACATACCATCTGCAAGTGATGAATGACATAAATGTTTTTGGTGAAGCATACTACATTGAAGACCAAGGTGGCGCTAACAGGAATAACCATAGTAAAAGTCAACGCTTTTGAATCGGATATCCAGCAATAAACCAAATTTCCTTTGAAAAAAAAATCAAAGAGAAAATTTAGTACTGGCGCGGTCTTTGGAAAAAAAATTGGGAAATAAGTAGACACAGAATGTAAAGGGTCATGTCCTTAAATCAGTATTTCTTTTGATATTTCCAGTAGAATTTTGTGTAGCTCTTTTAATAGTTTTGAAAGAGATCATGGTTATGATTATTATTGACTGTGCGAGGTCAACTAGGATAGTAAGAATCGATTTTTAAACTCGCCATTTCAAAACATATCAATTTAATTGCGCCTTCCTACAAACCGTATCCGATATGGAAGGTTCCGGTGTGGTCCAGCACAGAACATAAACCAACGATTACTGCAGGAAGTCCCCATCCCACTATGCAATATTTGATGAAGATTTTTCTTGTGTCTGATGGTTGTCTTCTCCTGGCAGTCACTGTGTGATAAAAATATAGATAAAGCATAATTACTGCTGGCTATCATTATGAAATCATTGATTCCATAAATGAAAAATTCGCCATTGGCATAAAACCGTGGAGCGTATTTGGTTTTGCCTTTATTAACAATAAAAGACTGCACGTCATATATGGTTTGAGGCCGCGAGTAAGTTGCAGTCTATGGTCTATTTCAGGTCAGTCATGAAAAGGTTAATTGTCAGTAACGTTGAGTACTTTATTGATAAGATAAGCGTGAGTTATTGTCATTGTTTTTGCAGTTTTCATGGAAACACGCTGACGGTATTGTTTTGCGGTCACCTACCTTTGATGGAAAACGTATTTGCCGCATCAAAGGCCATAATACTCATCCATGTAAATGTAGAAAGAATAAAAAAGTGGAGTAAAATGGCGACTGCTTTGCAAATAACATCAACCTCTGTTGATTTTTTAGCACTGAGAAATGTTATTTGATATAACAGCAACGCGGCAGAGAGACTGATGACACATCGTCCGGGAAGGTTTTTAAGGTCCTTGAAGGATACGTAGACTATGAGTAGCAAACAGAGCGAGAATATGGAAAAAAGCATGCCAGTAAATGTGATGAGAGAGAGAGCTGAACTTTCGCTGTACCATTCATTCTTTCTGGTCAGATGATCTGGACACAAAATATGAAAATTAGTTTCGTCGTATGAAGATTGATTCGTCACCATCGTGAAACTTTTGTTCCAAGGATATATCGTTTGATTTGATTGGTTTTTCACAGGATAGAAAACCCAACATGTTTTATTTCTAAAGATAACTGTACAATTATCCAATTTTGAGCTGCAGTTAAGAACCTGTGGTGAAATATCATGGCTCACTGTTCGAGTCTCAGCTGGGTTTGTTGGATGAACAGGTTTTGGTGCAGCGGGTTCCTCCATATTTTTGCTTACGTCTAGAAGGATGTTCAATGGAGGCACTATCGGAGGTATTGGTTTTTCAGCGGTGTTCAGTCTTCCCTCGGGATTACAAAATGCACAATGGGGATTTCTATACTCGCGCCGTCCTTGTCCATCCTTAACTGTAAAAGTCATGGCGTACAGCGCACATAATTGTCTGACTGCAGATGGCATTCTCAGCTCTTTAGAAGAACATGATGAATCATGAATGACACAAAACTGTTGGTACTTTTCAATGGCTTGCGTTGGTGAATATTTCCATGAGCAGTCGCTGTGTTCCTTTAGAAACTTCTTAATAATGGTGATGTTTGGATCAGGTCCTTTTCCGGAGGTAAATTTACATGAGATGTCGAGACTCCAAAACGACGTGTTTTTTTCTTTGTTACACCTCGCACAGGCAATGCTTCTGTAAGTTAGATTGTGTTTCCAGCTATACACTGGTAGTTCTTTATATGGCGTGAAATTCAACCTTTGGATACGATGACAGTTTTTTGTACTCGCACTGACACGTGAATCACATGTAGATCTCATGACTATTCCAGATGACCAAGATGAACTGCCAACTTTCCCACATTCTACGTTCGCCGGAAAGAAAGAACTTGAAATTTTACGACACCTACCGAAAAAAGTGTAGTTTTTAGGTTTGTGAAAAAACTAAAAAGGAATCATTGTGCACTGACGCCTTATGGGATAGCTAGTTTCTATTAAGATCAAACTGCGCTATAAATTGATCTTTTTAAGTCCAGAATTCGGTTACGCAGTGACCGACTCATCGCTGTCTGTTGGAGTTTTGAGGAAAAAAATTGGTGTCAACTCTCTTTTTAACCTGGCAATTTTATATTGAGTTTGACTAAAATTTCGGTCGGCAAGCGCATTTGCGATTCTGCGTTGCCCTCTTTCACTTGTCATCATTTATTTTCATGATCTGTCATTCATTACTCATGTTCATACACATCCTAATTAATTTTTCTACGTGGATTTTCTCTCTATAATGGGAAAGTATTTTTCGTCAGTTGTGTGTTTACGAAGCTAATTGTTTCATTAATTCATGTAATTTGGCTCACCAGTTTTATTAACTCCTTTATTTGATAGAGAACCCATACCCTTTTTTGATTTGTATTTGTTCCTTTGCTTGCTCGCACAGTTTGCTTCTACAGGGGCACCAAGAACGAGAGCATGATAACGACCTAACGGAATACTTTTCCTGTATCACTATTGTAACTTTGCTCCAAATAATAGCATCTAACAAGGCTAAAAGTTAATCTCTTCATTCTAAGAATTTTCATATCTTAATCGTGCTACAAACAAATTATGAATTCAATTCAGTGAGTCTTACCTCGAGTAAAAATCAAAGCAACAGTCCCCAAATGTTTGGCAAACCTTATCACAATAACATTTCTTACACCGTTGTCTTTCTCCAACATAACATCTGCCTCTACATGACTGTGCTGTGGAATTCTTCTGTTGAAGTATTACTCTGAAAAACTCCTTTTCGTTTGGTAGAGTGATGTTTTGCTGATGGAGAAGTTTGGAAATATTTCTCAAACTGATAACTTCACCCTTAAACTTCACAACAAAGTCATCTTCGCCTGAATCTGAATCAGAGAGGAAAAAAATCCACACAGTAATTGGCCGCACTTACTCTTACAGTGTCAGTAACTCCTTCGAAGATAGTATTTATTTATCTAGAGAAGAAAACGAGAATGTTACATCTGATATCTTTGTTCTTAGTTTGGGATTTTGCTAAGGAAAAATGAAAAGATAAAGAAATAGGTGATAATAAAAAATCCCAAAAAATTTATGCGCACATTCATACCTGTCAAGAAATTGCTCCCATTTTTCAAACTTTTGCTTTCATTCTGAGAGCTTCAAAAAAAAGAATCTTGGTCTTCTAAATCCAATTAAGGAAAAGCAAATTAATTTATCAAAGCCTTAATGGTCATTGCTTCTTTCAGCCTGTCGATTGAGTTACTCATAAACAAAATAATGAACAAACGCATTGAACATACCAACTGGCTTTGGAGATTCCCTGGAGTTGTTTTTCACATCTGTTGCTCTAGATTCGGTGTTATGTTCATCATTTTCCTGGGCCGTTGCTGGCAAGAAAAGACTCGATAGCGCAGCGGCAATAATAAAAATCGATATTCGACCAGAGACTCTCGAATGCATGATCATAGGGTCATTTAAAGTCAATGAACCAAGCAGAATCTTACTTAAACCGTGAATGAAATTCTTATGTTTGTGTCACATCTCGCCTCCCCCTTTTTTGCGAATGTTTGTGATTATGAGTGATAGTTCGTTACGAAGGACTTAATGGGAAAAAAAACCGCTTTGAAATGAAACGTGTTGGATTCGTTGCTAATAAAGTCAACAATTATCTCATGTCTCACTGCTGTCCGGTTTTCTCTCTTTATCGATGACCTTTTTCCGGCCAAGTGATTCCATATCCTTTTCTTTGTGTG